TTATGTTGTTTGTAGAGTTCTTAGGAGAAGAGAAAAGTAAATTCCTTTCAAATGGTTTACTTAATTGAAAATCTCTTTCTTCTGTTTTTATGACATAATCTGTTTTCCATAAATTAAATTTAGAAAACTTTATACGATTTTGTTCTTTATCAACCTTAGGTATTTCTCATTCATCATAAGCTTTACTAAAATCTTGGTAAAATTATATTCATTGCGATTTATAACCCTTTTTTATTTCTGAAGATTCAGAAATCATCCGATTTTAAATACTACTAAGCAAAGATCTAACACAATAAAGGTCCATTTTAGCAATATCAACAAAGTTGGCGACCACTGCCTGGTTATACCTTACTCAGCCTTTCAACAACAGCGGCCATCAAACGGGTTCAGTAAGGCATACCCAAAAACTATCTATGATACTTCCAAATGAATTCTTTATTTCTATAGTTGCTTAGCAATTTTAAAAAAGGAATGGCTCTGATACCAACAAAACACAAAGGACCGATTACTAACTGCAAACTGCAATTAAGTTTTACTAAACTGCAAACTGGCAATTAAGTTTTACCAGTATGTTGATCTCTGAAGTAATGCCCTATGATGAAAGACAAGATCCATTTATGTACAATAATCAAAATAATATTTTCTGATGTGGAAGATCAGACTAAGCTGGCATCCACAGAGCATACTTATATATATATATATATATATATATAAAATAACAATAAATTAATATATATATAACAAAAATTAAAAGAAATAATATATATTAGATATTTTCATTTGAAGATGACACAGACAATAAATATAAATTTTTATAATAGCAATTAAATACATACTTATACATATATAATATATTTAGATATGTATTAAATAATTAAAAATGATAGTTTAATTTTAATTTATGTATGGTTGAATATTTGTTAGAGAATAGTTGAGTTCCTTCCTATTATATGATTTTAAGCGGGACATATGTTTTATCGAATGTAAGAAATATGTATAATTTGATAAATACATACATCTACACTCAAGCCATTAGTTTTTCTTCTGGATTCATTTTAATAATAATAATATATAATATATTTTTTGGTGATAAAAAAAATGAAATATGTATAATTTGAACGTAAACCTATATAAATATGAAAAAATTCAGCAAAAAAAATATGCATTAGCCTATTGAAGTCAAATGTGCTTGATCTACCCAACTACATAATGCCTCAAAAGTCGATGGGTTTAGTTAACTTTGTACTTATTGTAACCAAGCTTGTATCCTTTGTTAGTTCTTATTGGGTAGTGAGCATTGCAAGTCCAATAAAATAACAAGGTTGGCATTATCTAAATATGGAATAGCCCTAAACCTCAAGAGGCAGCATATGCCACAATCTAATTAAATAATGAATGGATGTGTCATCCAAAAAAAAAAAAAAAATGAAAAAAAAAAAAAAAAAAAAAAAAAAAAAAATGAACCACTTGGATTTTGGTGGTCCGGGTTACCCTAAAATTGAATATGAACTTGTATTGTTATCTCTTTAACCAAATGTTAAAATAATGTCATTTTTATTATTCATTTACTATTTTACCCTTTTATTGTGGTAGTTGTTGTTGCCGTCACAGTAACTGATTCTCGTCATCGTCATAGGTAGTCATGTCATTCCTGTCGTTGTCGTCTTTGTTGCATTACAGAAGCTGTATAAGGATAGTTTGAGAATTATGATTTATTTTTTATCACTATTGACATCCTCTTAATTTTTATATTTTTTTTACATTTTATTACTATAGGAACTTAATTTCTGACCTTTGTTAAGTTGACCTATTTTATATTCACATTTAGGGAAAAAAAAAAAAAAAGATCAAGAAATGGAATTGTCTGGAAGAGTTCCAATTTAGTTCATTATGACAAAGTCTGAGGATAATTGGAAATTTTAATGCTGTCAGAATCAGGAATGGAACCATAAAACTAGTTAATCATAGTATACATTAAGTTTGATAAGATTTGTGGCTGACCCAACCAAGTTCTGCAAACTAGGAAATGGACTTTTCAGAAAGGCACTTCTGTAGTCCTTAATTAGATGAATAAACTTCCTGCCAAATCATATATTCTTTGATAAATCCAAATGTTTGAGATTGCAAATTTTGACACAATAGAGCTTGGAATTTCCCCTCCAATAGAGTTTCTAAACAAAACAAGATTAATTAGAAATGTCGAGTTTCCAATGGAGCCAAGTATATTATTATGCATTCTAATTTACCATATTTAGATTTGGCAATTACTCTGAAGACCGAAAGAATTTAGGATTTCAAGCTCTATTGAATAAGGAAAAACGAAGCTTAAGGTGCATTTTTCTTAGAAAATGAAAACTAAAAAAGAGAAATTAGAATATGCATTTAAGTGGTAATAATAAAAAATCATATTTTAATTTCACTTAATAAATATTATTCACAACTTTCATAATCGAGAGAAATAAGATGTAACAAAATAAATTTAGAAATTTTTTATGTAAAAGTTTTTAAATTTTTATTATTGGCTATTTATAATAATAATTTCTTTTATCATTTTGTAAAAGTTTTAAAAAATAAAGGATATAATATATTTGTAATGATAAAATTAATTATTTATTAAAGCATAATATTTAATTATTTATTAAAGCATAATATAAATTTTTATGTTATTTAAATATTTTTATTTTTTCAAATGAATATTGTATAAAGAAAAAATTATTTATATATATAATTTTAATTTGAAAATGTAATTTTTATAATGACAAAACAGTTTAAAAAATATGTTTATGTTACAAAGAAAAACAATATTTTTATTTTTTTCAATGAAAATATTGTATAGAAAAAATTATTTATAAATATTATAATTTTAATTATGAAAATGTAATCTTTTATAAATGAAAAACAGTTAAAAAATATGTTTTTGTTACAAAGAAAAACCCTGTAAAACAATCTAAAAGCTATTTTTCAAATCTTAGTTAAATTTTAGAAAATTGGACAACTTTTTTCTAGCTTTCTAAATAAAAAACATTGATTTAAACACAAAACTATATTTTCCAGTTTTCTTAAAGTGAACACACCAAATGTCTCAAACACTCATCAACTTAGTAAATGAAGCTAGTCGAATCTTCCCACTCAATGCATTTACCTTCAAAATTGGAATTGGTATCTGATAACAAGAACTTCCCTATCAGATTCCAGGATACTATCATCTCATTATGAATTAATCCTTCTGTTATCAAGATGATGACAGATAACACTAATGTTGGAACAAAGCATATAGTTCCCATCAAGCACTCAGCTTTGAACTACTGCTAGTGATAAGACTGTCTAAGCATAGAGTTTCATTTGTTTCAATAAAAGCTTTTTGGCTAATAAAGAGTAGGCCATTGATACTAATTCTAAGTATTAAACCAAACCAGTCCAATGTACAATCTAGACTATATATGCACCAAAGAGCTAGGCCATGGTACTAATACTTGCTTCAAAGCTTTCCTTTCTTTTTTCTTTTTATTATTCAAATAAAAAGATCAACCATGGGAGTTAATGTGAGAGATGTCATGTTTCCAATGGAGAGATGTCAAGTAGAAATGTGGAGGAACTCTGCCACTAAGCCTGCATAGTTGTGAAAATATTGAAAGAATGTAAGAATTTGGCCAAGAATAAATGAAGTATAACTCAAGTTTAAATGTTCCAAGGATCTGAGTCATGGTAATGATAATTAATCTAATCTCCCCACTTAACCCATAATTTTCTGGAATTTTATCTGGGTTGTGGATATCAACAATACTCAGAGCTCCTAGCAGAGCATTTGGAGATGACTTGCTCCTGATCATATTACATGTCTCTTTTTTCTAAATAAGACACTTAAAAAGTATTTCATTAGATTATTGCCATTATATGGCTAGTCCATTTGAGTAACCAAAAAGAAGAAAACTTCATCAAAAGCTTCCTGCTACCTTCATCATCAAATCTAGCAAATTGTTTTAGCTATATGTGCACATGTACGAGTTATTCAACAATAATTCAGAAAGATCGAAGACAGACAATTGAGAAAGTTGTTCAAAAACTATCAGGAGAGTCTCATTTAGTTGATTCCCAGAAAGTTCAACCTTGGTTAGGTTTTGTAAGTTGCCTACCAAATTAGGAATTGGACCATGAAACCTATCATCCTTTAGAGACAAGAATAGAAGATTATCAAGATTACCCAACCATTAAGGCAAATTGCCAAATAAATTGTTCATAGATAAGCTTAAGTACATCAAACTAGGCAGGGGATTTTGAGCCACAATGCGTTGCTTCAAGGACTTCAGGCAAACTGCATATCAAGTTATTTTCAGAATAAATCGAAGTTTTGAAATAGCAGAATTCACCATTGGGCTTAGGAATCCCCACCTCCTATATTATTGGTAAATAAATCAAAATCGATGAGATATGACATGTTTCCAATGCAAGTAGGAAGTTTACCATAGAAAAAAAAAGAACCTCTATACTTTTCCAACTTCCTTGGAACAACTGAGAGCAACTTGCAGAAAGTCTGACCCAGTTGGATGCTACTATAGAAACGGTCAACTCCATCCACAGGAAGATGTTTCAATCGGACAAGACCGGCCAACAATCAAGATTATCAGCTTTTTGACCTGTGCATTCAGAACTGGCAAGAAACTGTAAGTTATAACACTACAATAACATTTTGAATTACAAAAACTTTGTTTTTTAAAATATAATAAATTATGATGATTGCCGGTAGCAATTAATACTTTAGATATCAAATGGTGTCAAAATAATATTTCATATCATAAAAATTTTTATCAATTTTGTGGTATAAGAAGAGAACTGTTCGGCTGTATAGTTCGTAGCTTATAATATTATTTCAGAACCATAATCTCTCCCAAAAAAGAGATATTTTTAATTAAATTAAAAAGAAAATTTGAAAGTTGGGTGACCTTTATTTAACTTTTTAAGTTTTGGTCTTTTTAATTACGGAGTGTCTAACCACTATCCATTATTATACCCAAAAGAGTGGGACAGTATTCTCCTCTGTTTCTCCGTTTATGTACTCCTTTTAAAACCAGTAAATCTCTACTGATACCGCAACCACCCAAAATGGATCAAATTTCCCCAAAACCCAAACAGATATTCATCTTATCCGGCCAGAGCAACATGGCGGGTCGCGGCGGTGTAACTAAACACCCGCACCAGCATTGGCACTGGGACGCCGTTGTCCCACCAGAATGCCAGCCGCACCCAGACATCCTCCGTTTAACAGCCGGCCTGCAGTGGGTTCAAGCCCACGAACCACTCCATGCGGACATCGACTCCAAAAAAGTGTGCGGGGTGGGACCAGGGATGTCATTCGCCAACGCTGTGAGAGAGCGCGTCGGAGTGGTGGCTCTGGTGCCGTGCGCCGTCGGTGGAACGGCGATTAAACAGTGGGCGCGTGGAGAGGCTTTGTATGAGACGATGATGAAGAGGGCGAAAGAAAGCGTGAAGGATGGCGGAGAGATCAAGTGTTTGTTGTGGTATCAAGGAGAGAGTGACACGTCTAGTGAGCACGATGCTGAGGCGTACCAGGGAAAAATGGAGAAGCTAATTGAAAATGTGAGGGAAGATCTTCATTTGCCTTCACTTCCAATTGTTCAGGTCAGTATTTGGTAGTTGAAGAGTTAACTTTACCTACTGCTCAACTTAATATATATAATATGGAAAATTACGATTTTAATTCAATTTTAAATATTATTTTTATTTAGAAAATAACTAATTCCTCAAATCAAATATTCATTTTTATTTCATTTAATTTTAATATTTATTTTTTCAATATGAAAAAAAAAATAAATTTTATTTATAAAAATGAATTAATTCCCCATGAGCTTGTTCATCCTTGTTTAACATATCACTAATTTAGTAGCAGAACAACTAAGAAATCATTCCATATATAGGAGAGAAGTCCATAATAAAAGCTTTGCTTAACTAGAAGCAAACTTAAACAAAGGCTTCATAGGAGATTTCAATTCTTATGGAATGATCAATCTCTGTAAGCAGTGATGATGAAGAGCAAATCAAATGTTCATCATCAAATCTGCAGTGGTAGGAGATTGCCCTTATTAAAGATGCATTGCTCGCTTTGCTTTGTCTTTGTGTGATTAAAGTAGCTTTTGTTGCATGATATTATAAATATAAAATGTCCCTAACAATTACCAAAACAAGCAACTATTGAAATTTGAAAATGATGTTCTTCAGTAATTAATGATTTTCAAGACAGGAGATCACATGAAAGCTTGCATGAAATAGGAAAATAATTCTTGATGAAGGAAATCTGGTTCAATATCTTTCACTTTCTTGTTACTTTCTTTCCTCTTTTATAATATCTCGGTCCAGGCAACATAATCTTAAGACTATTACCAACTTTCTCGAGTAAATAACAAGAAGAGAGGTTTTTCCTATTTACTCAGTTTGGATCTTTGATTGTTAAAGTTATGATCTGTTTGGTATTTCAGCTATAACTAAGAATAGATTTTAAGCCCAAAATTAATAGTAATTATGCTAATGAGTGCTTTTTTTCTTTTAATATGGCTTTTTCAATATGACTAATCTTTATATTTTTGAAGTGGAAGTGTAAAATCTAGTGATATGTGAAAAAAAAAAAGTTCATATCTAAAAAGAACTAATTAATAGTTATTGACATTTTTAGTAGAACTCAAAATAAATGTTGTCTTCTTTACTTCCTTTCTCCCTTGCTATATTGGTATTTCAAAAGTAAATTGATTCTTGTAAAGCTGACTCTAATTGCGATGTGAAGGTTTGTGTTACAATTGTTTCAATGAGTAGGGTTACCTGTATGATGTTGTTTATAGACTGAATTTTAGAAACTAGTTTATGTACTCAAAATGAATTATAGTATTATAATTTCTTTATTAGCTTCATAATTTGACAACTATGGTTTTGAACAGCCTTCATATTTAAAAGTCTTAATCCCATGCAAATTCTTTACAATTTCCATAAACCAGTTCATAATCCATCTGGGTCAAATCATTATTTCTCACCATAACTTCATCCGACCTTTGTTTCTCTTCTTTATTCCATAGATTGGTTTATAAATTCATTTAAAAGGCTCTTTTGGTGTTAAAAAAAGATCATATTGGGTTATAGTAAGAAAACAATGATATGATGAGCCTTTCAAATGGGTTTATAAACAATGATCATTGTTTTCTCACTATAACACAATCTGATCTTTGTTTCATACCAAATGAGTCTTTCAAATGGATTTATAAACCAATCTATGGAACAAAAAAGAGAAACAAAAATCGGATGGAGTTATTGAACCTGATGAATTATGAACTGGTATATGAAAATTGCAGAGAATCTACATGGAATGAACCTTTTAAATACAAAGACTATTTAATACCATAGTTGTTAGATTATAAAGCTAATAAAAGAACTTGGACCTCTGTAATTCATTCTGAGCACATAAACTAGTTTTTAAAAATGGGTTTGAATTGCAAACAGTGTATCATACGAGTAAACTTGCCTATTATAACACATACCTTCACATTTCTAGTTGTGATTAGAGTTAGCTTTACAAGAATCAATTAATTTTGAAATAAAAATATAGTAACAGAGAGAGGAACCAAAGAATACAACGCATTTTGAGTTCTACTTAAGATGGCAGTAGCTACTAATTAAGTTCTTTTAGATATGAACTATTTCTTTTTCATTTATCACTAGGTTTTACACTTCCACTTCAAAAATATAAATATTAATCATATTGAAAAAAAAAATTCATTCATTAACATGTCTACTATTAATTTTTGGCTCAAAATCTATTATTAGTTATAGCCGATACCAAACGCGTCCTAACTTTAACAATCAATGATCCAAACGCGTCAATAGGAAAAATCTCTCTTCTCGTTATTTACTTGAGAAATCTTGGTAATAATCTCAAGATTAAATTGCATGCAAAAAAAGTAATAAGAAATTGGAAGATATTGAATAGATTTCCTTCACCAATAATTATTTTCCTATTTCGTGGATGCTCTTGTGTGATCTTGAGTTAATTATTGTAATTGTACATATGTACATCTTCAGTTATAAAATTTTACAGAATTCATCTATACATAACTTCACACTTACCATATTTGATATGGATTAATACTTAATTATATTTAATTTCAAGAACCTAATTATATAATTAAGAGTCAAATTCTATCAAAACTGCTCAAATCGTTTATGTATATATGTGTGTGTGTGTGTGTGTGTGTGTGTTTGAACTTTTAAATGATAAATAATTCAATTCAACTTTTGAATGGAAATTTCCTTTACATTGCTTAGTTTATATTGGGTAATAATTATACCATAATTTCATATTAGTTAGATACATTATATAACTATTCTATGAAAAGTTCTAAAGTTAAAGATTCATGGAAAATATATTATTTCACATTATGATTGATTGGGCAATAATTATACTATAATTCTTTTTCTTTAGACAATTCTGAATTTGGTTTGATTGTTTTGGATTGTAAGATTATTTTACATTTTAGGCTTGATATTAAGTTCAAGTGGGTTAGGAGACAAACAAATATGAATGATCACGTGTTAGCTAGAGCGACCATTCGCTATACTCGTTTCCAAGTTTGGGATAATCTCCCTCCTTGTTTTGTTGGTAATGCTCGTTGAGTTAATGATATTCATTTTTCTCTTTAAAAAAAAAAATAAAACTATAATTTTTTAGTAATAAATGTAGAAATAAATCAATATTTAATTTCTATATCAGTAAATTGCTTAATTAACATCTTATTGGATATATATTTTTTATCATACTCAAAATAAACGTATGAAAAAATAATTTAAATGCTTTGAACAAATATTTAAAATCATGTGTGTTTTATGTCATCGTTTTCCTATATTTAAGATCTTATTAATCCTTTTTTTTCTTATTATCTAGACGAATGATTCCTTGAACTGCCACTAAGCATTTGGTATGATTTGCATGTTTGATAGTTTGATTTAGTTTTAATTCTTTTCAACCATGCTTTAATTTTGGTGTGATTATTACTTCAAACCAAACCAAATCGATCCACAAATAATCCTAGCCAACACAATTAAATCTGTCCAGAAGTGGGACGGATTCAAGATAAATAATATTTTTTAAAAATATTATTATATGTTTATTATTTTAATGGATTATACTAAATCCATTTTGAGGGTGAGAAGGTTCAGTCATTTCTTTGCACTTTTTTTTTCTCTGTATCCGTTTTATATTTAACAGATTCGATGTAACTAGATTTCTCTAGTCAGACGACATTATTATTGGAATTACTTTCACAAAATTGCATTATTCCGATAAATAGTTTCAAAATAAGCATTATTTTTATCATAAGCCCCCATGGGTGGAGTTAATTGCTCCATCCATCTACTGGTCTAGACTTGTTGGGCCTGGTAACTTCAACCAAACATAAACTTCTTATGGGATGGGCCAATCCACAAGGTTGGCTCTTTCATAAAGGTACACTATTCTCCCATATAGGCCATATTCGCTTGTTGCATTCAAAAATGTTATTTTCATAATATTTTCCAGTGACTTTGGATCATATGATTATATTCATTATTTGGTGTATTGATTGACTTGGAAAATGTAATATAATTTTAGGTAGCAATTACATCAGGAGATGAAAAGTATTTGGAGAAAGTAAGAGAAGCACAGTTAGGTATGAAGGTACAGAATGTAGTATGTGTGGATGCCAAGGGCTTGCAACTGAAAGAGGATAATCTCCACCTAACTACTCAATCTCAAGTTAAGTTGGGCCAAATGCTTGCAGGTGCATATCTTCAGCATTTTGCACCATAATAACCTCTCCTTACTTTACTTTAAAGGATTCTCCACTTTTGGTTTTCCTTCTTTTCTTGTTTTGAGAAACATTTTTTGTTGGCTTTAATAAAGTTGTTGGTTTGTTTGTTGTAATTGGTTTTTCATTTCTGGCATGTAAAAGTGTGTCAAGGACAAACAATTTTAGGAATGGATGTTCTCTGTAAGGCCAAGCTTTAGGTCACAGAAAGTTGGGTGTAGTTTAGGAAATATGCTTTATGGCATGCCTAAAATTAGGTATGGCCATGGTGTTGAGTTTCTACTAGATGGGAAAAATCGATTCGAATTGGTTCCAATTCTAAATATTGGAATCAGAATCGGCCATTTTAATTGAAGTTGGTTAGGAACTTTCATCCGGATTAGCCATTTTTTTTTTTCAAAAAAAAAAAAAAAAAATATCTTTAATGGCAATGCCTAAAATTAGGTATGGCCATGGTGTTGGAGTTTCCTATAGATGGGAAAAATGCGAATTCGAATTGGTTCCAATTCTAAATATTGGAAATCAGAAATCGGCCATTTTTAATTGAAGTTGGTTAGGAACTTTCATCCGGATTAGCCATTTTTTTTTTCAAAAAAAAAAAAAAAAAAAAGAATGACTTGAAATCAATTTGATTTTTTTAAAAAAAAAAAAAAAAAAAGAATGACTTGAAATCAATTTGATCTAGTCAAAACCAAATCGATTTTGGCTGAATTGGAGATGATAATGAGCAGGCTGAACGATCATGAAACGGGTTCGAATCAGATTCGCAATATCCATATCCGTTTCATCAGTAAAAATTAATATTCATTAGATATTTGCTCCGTTTGAAATTGGATTGGATTTGAATTTGGATTTATATTGGAGTAACACATATATGATAAATAAAAAGAATTTATTTTTTAGGAGTGAGAAGTTTCGAGTTTAAATCCTTTCGACTGCAAGTGTTTTCATCAATTTGATGAGTTCAAAGGAGGGAGGGCTATCCCTGTTGTTTAGCCTGCAGTGTTATTTCGACTCATTGAGCTTATCAATGAATTAAAAAAAAAAGAAGTATTTTTTAAAAGGGAAGAGGAATAATCAAATTGGGTTTGAATAGATTCAGATTGAATTGGCGCAGATCTATATCCTCTCCATTTATAAACAAATCATGTTTTGCCTGCTCCATTTGCGTTAAATAAGCGTCTTTTGGCTGAACCAGTGATGTATGCTGCATGGTTCCTCCTCCAATAAACTGCAACAACCATCGCACTGTGCATAACTAAAACAAACAAAATTAACTAACAAATGAACTAATTGAAAGGAAAATAAATATTTTAACTAATCATTTAATTAACGTTAATAAATTATTATAATGTAAATAATATTCTAGACTTTTCAATTTTTATCATGAAATTTTTTATAATACAGAAAAAAAATGATGGTTCAATTAGCACAGCCCATCTGGTCATGCGGACCCAAGTGGCACCAGTTCGTTATCCTTCCACTGCCACGAGCGAGAAGTAGCTGCTGCTCTGTGAAACCAGCCTGACGCGGTTCCCTCGCCCGAGACCCGAGGCTCAACTCTCAGCTTGGAACGGGCAAGCAAGAAGTTATTCCCTTCGAGCCCAACCATCAAGGCTTGTGCAATGTTCCATTGATTTGGTGCCCCCGCTTGGTCACAGACTTGCGTCACCAAGCCCGGCAATGGTCCACGTCACTGAGCAGCAGTAAGAGGAGTCAGAAGTAACTATTATCCTTTGATATGGGATGGCTCGCTTCTCTGCCTGATTAACAGAAATCATCGATGGCACATATAAAACTAGTAGATTTTTCTTTTTCCATAATGTTATTAACTGTTTGTAGTTAAACTAATAGACTTTTAATCAATTTTATAGGAACATTACTCAACGCAGAAAAATAAATGTTCAAAAATTCTGAAGCAAGAAAGGTTCATCCTTCTTATAGAGTTTCATAGTTTTTAGATACTGATCTAGTTGAGACTGTTTGGCATCAAGCTTAATTTTATGGGTTAAATTCCCTTCACATTTTTTTTTAAAAAAAGTTGGGTATAGTTTAGGAAATATGCTTTTCATGGCAGGGCTAAAATTAGGTTTGGCTACAGGTTGAGTTTTGACAAGATCGGATTAATTGATTTCGGATTGATTTTAATTTTAAATATTGGAATTAGAATCTATCAGAGTCGAAGTTGGTTGGACTCTCTTAACATTTAATTAGATTAGCAAAAAAAAAATATATATTATTTTAAAAAAAAGACTTGAAATCAATTTAATCTATGTCAAAATCGGATCAATTTTAATTGAACTATATATGATCACAGAGCATGTTGGGATCAAATTTGCGAGATATATTGAAACTATATATGGATCACAGACATGTTGGGATCAAATTTGGCGAGATATATATATAATATATATATATATATATATATATAATTATATATATATATATATATATATTAATATATATTATGAATAAAAGAGATATTGAATAAAAGAGGTGTTTTTTTAAGGGAAAAAAATTAATCAGGTCAAATTCAAATCAAATTGATATATAATCGAATTTTATAGGCCCGTACTTAACTTACAAATGAATTAATTGAAAGAAATATAAATATTTAGACTAATCATTTAATATCATAATGAAATAATTCTTTAAGACCATAAACTAATTGCATATTTCAGATTTTGTTTATCATTAAATGTATTAAAAACCATGGATTATTTTCAACTCCATTAATTTTTATCATGAAATTTATATATCAATAGGGAAAAAAAAAATGATGGTTCAATCATCACAGCCTATATGGTCGTGTGGGCTCAAGTAACACTGACTCGTTATCCTTCCACTGCCAGGAGTGAGAGGTTATCGCTGCTCTGTGAAGCCAGCCTGACGCGGTGCCCTCTTCTCTAAGAAGCCAAGAGATTCGAGCCTTCGCTCAGACCTATGGTTCCACTCTTGGCTTGGAACGGGCGAGCCAAGAGTTTGCCACTTCGAACCCAACCGCATAGGCTTGTGCGATGTTCCATCACTTTGGTGCCCCCTCTAAGGTAACAAGCTCGCGTTACCAAGCCCGGCGACGATGACAGTTACGAAGTACGTGCATAAGGAATAAGAGGTGCTTATTTTTACTCAATGTGGGTTTGGCTTGTTTCTTGTTTTACCAAGAACTTCTATTTGTCTCATTAACACACTCTCAATTGCACATATAAAACAACTACGAAAATATATTAAAAAAAACCCAAATTCATAATGAGATTGCAAAAACTATATAGAATTGAAATATGTGTAAAAGAAACATTTATTTAAATTTAAGTAGACAAAAATGGATTTTTATTTTTATTTTTCATAATTTTATTAATTGTTATAGTGAAATTAATGGACTTTTTCTTTTAGTATTGAAATTAATAGACTTTTAATATTAAGTTTATATAGAACATTACTCAATGTTCAAAAATATTAATACTACTGAAAATAATATATTTATATCAAAATGGCTTTCTCTATAAAGAAAAAAAAAAAAAAAAAAGAGTTTCATATAAAAGAAAGCAACCACAAACAACTCCTTAATTCCAAAAGGAATCTATCTATCTATATCTATATATAATTCTGAAGCAAAATGATGTGAGTTCAGAATCTATTCTTTGAGTATTCTATTTTATCTCTTTTTAGGAATTTTTGAATTTTTTCTTTATTTTTCTATATTTTAATTGGATGGTTATACATTTTTTAATTTTAAAATTAATATTTAGATAATAGCAATATATTTTGAAATCTAATCTAATTTAATAACTATTCTATTTTATTTGATATTTGATTTTCATTTTTTCAAAATTTAAAATTTTTAAAGACAATTTGGCTTTTGAAAATTTTTAATTTAACCTATATTTGTATCTATATAATCATTGTTAGTGACTTAAATGAACAAGATGATTGTTCATTTTTTCAAAATTTAAAATTTTTAAAGACAATTTGGCTTTTGAAAATTTTTAATTTAACCTATATTTGTATCTATATAATCATTGTTAGTGACTTAAATGAACAAGATGATTGTTTTCACATAAACTACTTTGCTTTCTTTCTTTTGTTAATTTGTTGTTGGCTAATTCATACTCGCTACTCCAACCTTTGCAACTTGTTACAATTGCACCACAAATCTAACTTAACCCCCAGACACCCCAATTTCAAACGTTTGTAAAAATTACACCCTAATTTGAAATCTAGCCAAAATTGACAATAAAAAATAATAAACGTGGAATCCACTTTAGTTAACTAACTCACCTCAAGTTAGCTAACTTAAACGCACCGTTTAGGGTAAGAGGATGGATCCCAAATCTTATTCCCTCTCTTCATTCTCTCTTCCTCTCTTCGATCACTCTCTCCTCTTCCATGAAAATCTCAAAACAAATATTACTTATTCTCATCAAAATTTTATAATATTCTTTTTTCCTCAACAATTTATCTTTGTATTAAAGAAAAGCGAGACATAAAATGGTGTAGCCTGTTGTCATTATTGTATAGAGTAATCTAGGGCTTTATTTTAATTTGGGTAAAGGAGATTTGCATTTGGAAAAAGCTAAGGATGGAGATGAGATCTACTTCAGAAATTAGTGAGGTGTCTTTCATTTCAACCACAAACCAGGTGTATTTTGCAGGCACAATGAAGAAGCACATTTATACACCTCATGGAGTCTATCAAATCCAAAAGCAGGTTTTATTACTGTCTTAAATGAGGGATAGGGCAAATAAGTGAAGGTTCTTCATGTGGCTTGATAATGAACACTCTCCAAGGGTTATTCAAGTCATGAATGTGATTTATGGAAGGTTAGATGCTACAAAAGCTAAGTTGAAGAAGGTGGAGGAGTAAGAATTAAAGCTAGAAATGGAGTTGAAGTCACTAGAACAAAAGTTGAGAATGAAGAAAGAGGCAGCGAAAGAAATGAACACAAAAATGGAATTCTTAACAGTAGAAAATCTCAATATCTAATTGTCTCTATATCCAAGCACAAAGAGAGAAAATATTTGTTAAATCTATTGTTGGCACTTGTGTTGCCTTGATTTTAGGTTTATGGATTTATAATTATTTCAAAAAGAATGTGAAATTGATGTATTGGCCCTGATTAGTTTTGTTTAGGAGATGATTTCTAGGTATTTCAATTGAAAGTTAATGTATTTTGTTTGGTTAGCACTAAGTATAGATGCTAAAAGTTATAGCTTCTGTTG